TTTGCCAAGCTTGTTCCAAGTAGGTGCTTTAGACCACTGAGCCATCTCACCAGCCCCTAAAATGGCAGAAGTGTTTTTTTTTTTTGGAATGCCTTCAAGGCATGACTGGCTGTCTTGTGTTGTAGGGATCGAACCACAGCAACCTGAGCCTGACTGCTTTGTTGAAGCAGCCACTTAAATAACTGAGCTACGGGGCAGGCCCCCCCCTCCACCTCCTTTCTATCGCTCTTGTTTACTTAGCTGGAGTAAAACATTTTGGGAACATCTAGTGAGGCTGTCTGAGAGTAGGACGTTGCTAGACTGCTATGACCAGCATGTAGAAGGTGGCAGATGCCCAGATCCAGTATGAGAGTTTGCCATTGGTTTGACATGGTTTGGATCAGTGGAAGGAAAAGACAAAACTGAGTACTGGAAGTTGGAGGCTTGCTGAAAGAGCTTACTGATGCTAAGTATCCAGGCACTGGCCAGAGCAGCCATGAAAAGACAGCAGGTTGTCAGATAACCAAGAATTGCTAAAAACAAGAAATGTATTTTGAAGACTGTCTTGGTTGTGGAGCCAGGGAGAAAGCTCAGCAGCATAAGTGCCTGCCTGGCAAGCCCAAGGTCCCAAGTTTGATCCTGGTACCAAAAAAAAGAAGGCTGTCTTGGTTACTTTTCTCGTTAACACCCCAAATCAAAGAAAGAAGTTTTATTTAGCTCACTGTGGAGGTTTCAGTGTATAATCACCTCACTCCAAGTCAAGGTGGCTTGGCACAGGGGCAACAATTCAAGGCAGCAAGGGCAAAAAGTGCTGGCCAGATAGCTCAGTGGATTAAAGTGCCTGCTTAAGCAGGCTCAGTGACTGGGTTTCTATCACTGGCGTGCCATGCCAGCCCGGCCCCCAGGGCACACTGAGACGGGTGATTTAGACTGGGCATGGTGGTTCATGCCTATAATCCCAGCTCTTGGGAAGCTGAAAACAGGAGAATCACTATGAGTCTGATCTACAGTGAGACCCTGTAGACCCTGTAGTAAATATGCAAAACCAACCTGAACTGGATCGTCAGGCCTGTCTCAAAGACAAGACAAAAAAAAAAAAAAAAAAAAAAAAAAAA